AGCCATACTTCTTAAGTAGCCAGTTTTTACAACAGATACGCTTTGCTAGTTGTCAGAACGAGGCTCGCTATAAAGCCCGCATCTTATCATGACTAAAATGACTTCAGAATAAACTACACGATAATCAGTGTCAATGCCAATTAGCGAAAGAATATCAACCTTTCGCGTATGTCGACATGTTGCGTGATCTTTGGCGACTAATGTAAGCATTTTCGTTGCATCATCATCGCGCCCGAAGTAAAGTTTTGCATTTCGACCACTACCTAACGTTTTTAATCTACCGACAAACAAGCTGACTTGAGTAGAAAACTGCTACCGTAATACACAGAGCTAATTCGCCGACAAAGCCTCCGATCACTCTCAGGCAAGCATGCTCCCGTTACTCCCATTATTTCGCCAAGGTCACCGAGCTAACGTATATCATGCTGGTTTTCATGAATGATTCAGCGACCCACAAATTACTCCTGCGTGGCGGCTGAGCGCATTCGCGATGCACATGCCCCCATCTGGTGTTGAGCACATGTACCACGCGAACCCAACTGATAATTAATTAATTAATTCCATCAAGGAAGAAAGACCAATCGCAGGAGGAGTAAGTTAGGGGCATGTTCAAAGCGACACTGCGAAGGACGTACTGGTCTAGAGAAGTTGGAAGTGCTTCCGCTAGGTAATTGAGTCAGTCCCCAGGAAACAAAAATCCACATATACATAGTTCTATTTTACAAAAAAAACAGCTTAACATGTGGAGTAAGATGGGCATAAGAGGAATGAAGACAGACGAAAAAATTGAACGTACTTGATGTGCGTGCGCTCAGATTGCCAAAACTGTGTATTTTAGATGACCCAATTGTAAAAAAAACTCGCAGCATTCGGCGGGACTCGAATCCGCATAGGAGGGGAGGCCTTCTACGCAAGCCAACGCTCTACCATCTTGAGCAACAAATGTCACGCTTCACACCGTGAGTTTAATCAGACTTGGATCGATATTACTTTGCCGCTCGTATGGAATCCACCAATGCGAGACAGCAAGTTGACTGCCCAAGCAGGATTTCCTAGGCAAACATCTAGAATCCACCAGAATGACTACAAGGCTGACTTACTATTAAGTTGGTTTGGCGGATTTGGTTAATTTAGTCGAGCCAATTGTGAAAAAACTCGCGGCTTTTGGCGGGATTCGAACCCGCATAGGAGGGAGACCTTCTACGAAAGTCAACTAAATTAACTAAATCTGCCAAACCTCCTTAATATGTATATGTGTGTATGTGTATCTTCATTATGTGTAAGTGTGTATGCGTATCTTCATTGTGGGCGGTCGTGTTTTAAAGAGCTATTGGAACATTCCCCAAACTGGTCACTTTAACACAATAGTTATTACTAGGAGGTTGTGACAGATTTGAATAATTAAATTGACCCTACTGTGAAAAATTCGTGGCCTCTGTGGGATTCGAACCCACAGTCAACGTTCCACTAATTGAGCTAGAAGCCTGATATTAATCAAACTTGGGTCAATTTACCCGCCCAGTCTACAGCACGTATTAGATCCACCAATACGGATACAGTTAGCCGAGCGCCAGAGCGTTGGCTGTACTGAAGCACCTCCTACCGAGGCCACGAATCATTAACAGTTTTGACAATTAGATTATTTAAATCAGCAAAATCCTCCTAATAATTAAGAAAGCCTGGTAGCCATTCTGGTGGGTTCTAGATGACTGCTTACAGAATCCCATCCGGGCAGTCGGCTTACTGTACCCGTATTGGTGGATATCATACGTGCATTAAGCTGAGTGGATAAATCGACCCAAGTGTGACTAATTTTAAGGCTTTTGGCATGCATTCGTAGCTGAATTGGTAGACCGTTAGCTGCACTAAAGCCTTCCCTGTTGATGTGCGTTCGAATCCCACTGGGGCCACAAATATTTCACCATTGGGTCAACTGAAAGTACGTATTTGCAGAGCATCCGAAGTATTTATTAAACGGTAGAAGATTTACGGCGTTGCTTCTTAATCCGTTTTTCATGAGTTTTTAGGGGAATTTGCAAAAAAATGTCTACTTGAATAGTCCCTCCTTCAACAGATTGAATGGCTGCTGATGTGCTGCAGATGGTGCTTCAAAAGCTCACCGCATCCTAATTTGATCCACCGAACGCAACTTCTATATCCTTTCGAGAAAAAAAAAGCGAATGGAAACTCTAATGTTCTATCTTCAAGGATTTCCCTCAAGCGGAAAGTACCGAAAAAAGCTGTTATCGATCGAAGTCCAGTACGACTTCCTTGTTTTCGATACTCCCAAGGTTTGGGTTATTTGTTCCTTATTTGGCCGTCTCAATCATCCCTTGAGAACTCTATGTTCCAAGTCAACAAGTTCACGCATAAAGGTTCAAATGGCCGTTTACTCGTGGATCTTGTAACTGACGGCCGCTACATGTCCGGGACATAAGATTATCCCTCCAAATGTAGCATATAATGCATAAAAAGGGTCACGTCCCCTACCTCTAGTTGGTTGAATCCCAAAGAATTCGATGCTCATCATCAGTCTTAAAACGCATGAATTATCACTAATATATGGAGAGAATTGTGCCCTATCACGAAGCTGCGGGGCTCGAATGCGCGACCTAGCTAGTTAGGAGACAAAATCCCTAACCACTGCGCAACGGACTCGTTGCCTTATCGCCGGGGGTTAAGTACGTTAAACCCTAGCAACTGCGATTTTCAGACCATGGTTACTTAGTAAGGGAAAAGTCGTTGGAGGCCAGAGTATTAGGAACAGTATATTTTGTACACGGAGGAAAAATGAATGATAGGGAAGAAATTTCAGTTGGGAGCAGATGGCCAGCCGGGTCAAAGTTCCAGTTTGACAGCAGTCAGACCAGTGGACAGAGAAAGCATTCACGTGTGCAGGCTTGCCATTCGTCGCCAGTCCAGAAGGCAGGTTTTACGGGAACTTTGATTGGCTGTTCGCAGACGCCGAGAACCAACTTCTGTGGGTCTTCAGGAAAGTTCACTTCGACGCGAGCAAGTCACTACAGCCTCACCGGTTTTCGATCGGGAATATAGGCTAGAATAGATGGGCGCTCACCGATCGGTACGTAACGAATGGGTTCCATACAGTTACTGACCAAAACCCCCGGACACGTGTTTTGCCCATATTCTGTTGCTGCAGACCAGGACTGCGAGGGGTTCGGTTCATCAATGGGTTCCCCAGTATTCACTGCGTGCTTTCTGTAAGATACCCAACGTTTCAAGTGACAGCTCTTTTTCCTCCTCAGAATAATAATTAAACAATTTATACTACTGACTGTCTGTTCGCAGCTTGGAAAAATTACACTGCTAACGCAAAGTGGTAAGTGACGTCGGCCCAAAAAACTAACATGAAATTTTAGTCTGTGCCCGTAGGCCCTTGAATATACTTATCCCCTCCAAGTTTGAAAAATTAAAATGATACGCGGTAGAAGTTTGGTTGGCAGTGGTCTTGTATACAAGAAGCTCTATGGTATCTGTCTCACCGGATACCTGGGAATGGGGATTTTATGGGTGGGGAAAACGGATGGAGGAGAAAGATATTTTGTACAAATAAGTACAAAAAGTTATCAAAGTTTGTTGGAATAGTTTAACGCGGCGGCTATGTAGCGACCGCGTTCGGCGCATAAATCAACAAAAGGTGTGAAAAACGAATCGTGCCCGAATGCATGTCAACAAACCTGTAAATGTGGCGTTTTATTCCGAAAAAGCGATTGTCGATCTAAGTCCAGTGCGACTTCCATATTTTCGATACTCGCGAATTTCGGATGATGTTTTCCTTATTTGGCGGCCTCAGGCATCCCCTGGGTACGCCATGTCCAAAGTCAACAGTTTTTCGTATAGCCGTCACCATGAGCGATTATTTTTGGACCTTGTAACTTTCTAGTGGCGAATATCCAAATGACGGCCGCTAATTGTCCAAAATGTGAAATTGTATCTCCCAATATAGCATACAATGCATACAAAGAGTCATGATCTCTGCCTCCAGTCCGCGGAATCCCAGAAAATTCAGCGGTCATCATCAGCCTGAACACCAATACATCATCGCTGATATAAAGACAATTAAGCCTAGATTGAGAAGAAGAAGAAGAAGAAGAAGAAGAAGAAGA